GGCAAGGCGGGCAGTGCCAGCGCCGCTCCGCCCGGCGCGGGGTTCTCCGCCCCCGCCGACTTCGTCCATTTGAAAAAGCACAAGGCAGCGTTGGCCGCGGCGCAGTTTAAAAGTAGTAACGCCAGCGAGACGGAGTCCAGCTCTGTGAAAAATCAGACGTTTTCGACCTCTCTCTCCCTAGACAGTGCTATCGTCTGTAATACAATAAACAAAGCGAACTCTGTAGGCAGTGGGCAAACTTCCCAGACGAGTCAGCCAAACTACCACACTAAACTGAAAAAGGCTTGGCTCACAAGACATTCGGAGGAAGATAAAAACACTAATAAAAAAGAGAATTCAGGGAACAGCGTTGCAGAAATTATTAAGCCATGTACTGTCAATTTAATAGCTTCTACATCGAATGATTTGCAAAACAGCATAGACGGTAAAATCTTGGCGGATAAGTTTGTGAAGGAAGATAAGCACCCTAGGAGAAAAGCAAAACGAACTTACGAGTCTGGCTCTGAAAGCGGAGACTCCGATGAAAGCGAGAGCAAGTCAGAGCAAAGGACTAAACGGCAGCCCAAGCCAACTTACAAAAAGAAACAAAATGATTTGCAGAAAAAAAAGGGTGATGCGGAGGAAGAAGTAAAGCCGAACGGTGTTCTTAGCAGGAGTGCCAAAGAAAAAAGCAAGCTGAAGTTGCAGAGCAGCGGTAACAGCAGTGAGTATATTAATCTGATTTGGAAGAGACAGACTAATGTGAAGTATGAATCCAAGAGGCTTGTCGTGCATGATAGCTGGGAAAAGAGTTAAAAAGCGTTCTTGTGTAAATGAGCAGATCCAGATTTATCTGTCTTGAGGCCATTTGAAATGTCCTGGTGTAAGAAATTCAGCTTTTTGTGTGTGTGGTAACAAACTGGTTCTTGGCCTAAAAATAAGCAGTAAGCAAACTGGTTTATGCTGCCCATCAGAATTCAACAGACTGGTGTGCCACTTGCATCGAGGTGCATTTTTTTTTTAATATCTGATGCATTTATTTTTAGCGCAGTACTGGAGGGAGAGGTTCTCTATTGTTGAACTTTAATTCGTCCTTTGATCAGGGAGCCAGAGGCAGTTCCTTGAGAGCCTGATGCTACTCTGTTGTGATTTGGTTAATGTAATGAAAGGTTTGAGGGAGAGTCATTTCACGCTCCTAACTAGCATGTGTATTACATGGAGTTAACACCCCTCCTGTTTAAGGAATAAAGAAATTTAGGGAAATACAAATTTCCATTTGAATATTGTAGCATGTAGCAGATTTTAACTAGATTTATGTGAAAGGAGAAACTGGTCTGACAACATGAGGGATTTTGTTTAAGAACCTACCATATTTTTAATCCAAATTTATTCTCCAAGGACTATTCCTTTTGTCTTTGTTCTGTTTGAGTATGAGAAAGTCTACCACTGAATTACTTTTCGCAAGAGTTTTGTAAGTACCGGTAGTGAGAAAATGAGTACTGCTCCCTGTAATTGCGTTCTCTGGCTTTTCACTGCCCAGTGTATAAGGTTGCTCCTGTGGTATCTGAGAGTATTTGATCCCCAAGTTGTACGGGGTGCTGGAAGTGTTGCGGTCTGAGGTATTCTGGCTTGGCTCCAGTGGTAGTAGTATTGCCTTCCCCCCCCCTCCACTGGAGGGACAATCAAGAACATGCCTGTAAATTCTTTCTCAGTTTCACTTCTTAAACTGTAAATCTATGTATGTGACATGTTAGGTCATTATGACCTTTGGGGTGTTGCAAAAGACTTCTTGTGGGTTTGTTGTAGAAGCCTTGCTTACCTAAGTTAAGGAAAGGCAGTGACTTCTTTTGGCCAGCAGTACCTGAGTATAAAAGTGGTATATGATAATATACTATGGAACTGTTCCATAGAACTTAGTGAGGAAATGGATAGGAATTGGTACTGTGTTCTGTTGTGATTCACACAGCTTGTGTCCTGCACATGAACTGGTATCTTGGGGAGCTACATTGTAATTTCTGAGGGAGAGCTGGTCAAGAGATTTTCTTGCGAAAAGGACCTTCCAAAAATATATATACAAAAACCTAGTTAACTTTGAGGAGCTTTCAGGAGAGAGCCATAGGATGGCTACTTGAGCTCCCTGTAGGTGTCTGAAGATAGCTATGCTTCAAGATCTGGGGCTCAGTGATAGTTTCACAACATGGGTAATATCTGGATACTGCTGGGGTTGAAAACTGCTTTGTCCCAGTGCTGTTTTGGAAATCCCTGGGAGCCTGTGTGCTAGCCAGAGCGCTCAGAGCTCCAGGCTGTGAGCAAGACTCCCTCCTGCAGAGCAAGGCGTTTGACAGCCCTGCAAGCCTTGGGCGTCTTCCAGGTTTTTGCCCACAGAGCTTGAAGCCTAGCAGTTCCCAGGTGACACCCAAGATCTCTGGTTCCAAGACAGCAAACATTGGTTTAGACAAGCAAACCTGGACTATGGCCTTTTCTACTCTCAAGTTTGAATCTTAGTTACTGTCATGCTGCTTGGGTGAGCTGGGAGTGCATTTGTAGGCTGTGAACTGAGGCATCAGCAGTCTGTCGCTTGCAGAGTTTACACAACTCGCGTCTGGCAAAATAGGGATCTGAACCCAGGTACCAAGTCCAAAGTTAGCACCCTGACCTCTCTATCATCCTGCATCAGAGCCCTGTGTACAGGACATGAACTTTGAAGAGCAGTGGTAGCTGAAATGACAGATGCTTCTATCTGCAGATAAAACTAGTGGCACTTTTAAAAGTCATTAAAATGAAAGCCTGGTTAAATAACAGGGTTCAGTTTCCAAATGCATATGTGAAAATTGCATGTGTTGCCCAGTAGATATGCTCCTCCTGTAACTCTGTGTCAGATCTGCTGACTTTCATATCAAAAATGGAATTGTACTGCTTAGCCTTGCAAAGCCAACAAGCCTGACGAGGGAGTAAATGGATTCTGTTCTTCCTTATGCCGGATATTTTACAGGAAAATCAGATGAGTTCCATGTGAATAGAGCTGCTCTTCTGTAACCCTATCTATTTTTTACCTTCAGCAAAAGTAAAATTTGAAGAAGTAGGATTTTATTTTTTTTTTTTAAGCTCTGCTTTCATTAATTAGTATGTTGCTTTTTTTGCATACATCTTCACTTGAAACAGAATTCCAGCCTTTCTTGGGTTATTGTGTTTCTTTGCTTGTTTTTTAACAATGACATTCTGAAGATTATTTTAGTGGAATATTTGGTCAATAATGCACCTACTATAAGAGAAAATAGCGTCTTAGGTAACACATGTACTTTCAAAACTGTTGAACACTGACTGATCTGACTGAGTTCTGTGGAAAAAGGTCTGCCAGGAGCTTACCTGAAACTCCCCTTCCTTTTGCAGCTGGTATACCTCGCTCAGTGTTAAAAGATTGGCGCAAAGTAAAGAAGCTGAAGCAAACAGGAGAGTCCTTTTTGCAGGATGATTCTTGCTCTGAAATAGGACCAAATTTGCAAAAATGCAGAGAATGTAGGTTAATAAGAAGTAAGAAGGGAGAAGAACCAACTCACTCGCCAGTATTTTGTAGATTTTACTACTTCCGGCGGTAAGTACAGCTATTTTCCAGAAAATGTGGTGGTTTAACTTTTAAAAATGGTACTGACGAAGGACTCACATGCTTGAAAGCTCATCTGATTTTTCTGGCTCAGTCAGTCTGCCTGATAAAAGACACTGTCTAGTTTAACAGTATTTACATTTCTATTTCTTTTGTGGATTGACTTCATTGGTGTTTAAAGCTTTGCAGCAAAGACATCAGAACAGCTGCCCAGTGTACCTTAGGCAAGCAGAAAATAAAGCACATCACCATTCCACAGGTGTCTGACATTTGAAGTGGGATTTTCAAAGGGCAAGCTTTAGTTTTTCTGGACAAGTTGTACAACCGCGGAGTTGCACTTAACTAGTAATTATTCTTATGCCAGTATAGGGAGGGGGTGCTGCTCAAATTTTCTGGGAGTTTTTCTGAGGTATTGTGACCTCCTTTTCCACAATTAATGGCCAGTCAAGGAAAACTCCCAAGTTGGGAAGAAAATTTCCCAGGATGCAGCGTGTAGGGTATGAGTTGCAGGCAGTGCAGCTATGGACACAGAACAGAAAAGGCTTTCATGTGTGTGTGGGTTGTGTTGTCAGTATATATCCAACTGGTCTTGGACAGGAAATTGTTCCCTACATTTGGTTTAATTTTCTTCTATGATGAAGCTTTAGTTACAAGACTTAGTTGTCCTATGGAAGTCATTTCAAGTTCAAGGTTGGACTTGGAATACATTCTTCATAAAGATATTTGCTTCCTAATGTGTCAGTGTCAGAATTTTGGGGGTTTCCTCCTGTATAAAGGTGAGAACATAAGTAATAAAATTTTCCCTA